TATCCTCCACAGAGAAGCCGGCACTACCTCAATCTCACACAGACTTGTTTTAGCAGCTAAAAAATTCTACCTCCGTCACTGTTCCCTTGGCTCTCACTCCCCAATAAATCGCCTTTTGCATAAATTCCATTTTACTAGACTTAAAAAGAAACCCCACCTTTTCCTCAAATTTCAGGACATCTTCAGCCAAAAAGGCATAAGTAAATTCAATATCATCCCCTTCCACATTCCAGTTTTCCTCACAGATCTCCCGAACCTCTGTCTTTTTGTACACGATCTTCCTTTTCAAACTACGAAAAATCCCAACGAAATCCTCCCTCTCTATCAGGAAACCCTCCACACCCTTTGGAAAGACTTTGTCATCCTGGCTACCGATGCCTCAAAATCCAGTACGAACACAGGTATTGCGGCTATTAACTCAAGGAACAACATGTCTTATATCTCTCAAATCCATCCTATTAACTCAGTTTTCACCGGAGAAGTTTTAGCGATTTGGTTAGCAGTCACAAAATTCACTACCGAGTATCTAGATTACGTTATTTTATCGGACAGTAAATCCGCAATCACTGCCCTCATCTCGGCTACCCATAAATCCCTTCACAGCATCCTCCTCTTACAAAAAGAGATCGTTTCAGCAAGTGCAAAGGTGAAATCAATTACGATCGCCTGGACACCAGCACACGTTGGCATCCCCCCCAGTGAAACCGCAGATAAACTGGCCAAACACGCCACCAATGCCCCTCGAGCCATCCCTTTTATCTCACCAGAATACTTGTCATATTCAGCAGTTTTAGACACAAACGGCGAACTCAATAACCTCCGGACTAACTCAAAATACCACAAGCGTTTCCCCTTTGATCACCCTGTTAATAAAACTCCCCTCAACCAACTCCCAAACCGAAAATACAATATCTTAATCTCTCGTCTCCGAAGCAACACAATCCAACTTAACGCAATAATATGCAAAAATAGGGCTTGTAGACTCCCCTTTGTGCGACCACTGTCAACAACCAGAATCTGCTATCCACTTCCTCTTTGAATGCAAAAAGTTTGAACATCAGCGACAAGCGCTGCGCGCTTCAATCGGAGTTTTCCCACTCTCCCTTCACCATCTTCTTAGCTACGACCAATACGATAATCTTCCTAAAAACTTAGTGGATTTTTTAATTTCAACTAAGCGTTTCTAATCTCCAGATTTCAAACTCCTTAATTAAACGCAGTTACAAATTTTTAAGTCATTGGCTTAAGCTTCTCTGAGCGCCTGGGAAAAAGAGTTTTTTTTTTTTTATTTATTAAGAATTTTGTTTTGATGAACGTGTTTCTCCAAAAGTGTTGGAACCACCAAATGTATGTTGTTTTTTTTAATTTTATCAAAGCAACCTCTCCAAAAGTGTTTTGGAAAAATATTTAATTTTGATCTACACAGTAAATTTGCTTTGCTTCTTCAAGAACAGCGTACACTCTCTTCATCTCATCGTCATCATCTTCACCACCTACAACTCAACTCACAAAAAATACACCTTACAGCAAGGGGTAGCAGAGTAAAAGCGAGTAGCAGAGATCCCCCCCCCCTCATCATCATCATCAGTAATAATACTTACACGTAAGTAAACCATAATCCTCCCAAAAATTACTCATCACTTGTGCACGTTCTCTAGTGTTGAGGCTTTAAAATTTTGACAAAATTAAATTTTTTAATAGTTTACCGCCCTATAAATTATTTTAAAGAAAATCATTTGGGTAGAACTCTATATCTACAGTCTCTAAAGTAAACTATATGTTGATGTCAACCGAGTAATCATAATTCTAAGAAAATTTAGATTTTTATTAGAAGTTTGGTTATTTTACCCGATTGAATGCCAATCAATTGTGATAAATTATTGACGTCGAGGTAAAATAGTACTCTTAACACTACTTGTAAGTAGGTGAAAATGGAACCTGAAAGTAAATAAAACTCAGAAATTCTACAAAAACTATTGGTTTTTATGACTTGATTAAAAATTCAATTCCTTTCAAAAATATGCACAGTAGAAATAACAGTCGACATGTTTCAAGCTCTCAAAAATAGGCGCTCATTTTCATGACTTGTCAGACATGTATGAGACGAAACGGAAGTGATTTGAATTAGAAGACGTAAAATTGCCAACGAAAAATGGAAAAATAATCTAGAGAATCAAAGCTGGAAAAACCACTGTAGCCGAGAGAGAAAAAAAATGAACAAAAGAACCTACAGTGGCCGAGAGGGTCAAATCAGATGAAAAACAGTATTGGAATTGTAGCAATCCCGAAATTATTTCAACCAGGGCATCAGCTCATCTTGATGCCCTGGAACCTTGTTTTATTTATATAAATGCTGATTCCCTTGTTAACGACTTTAGTCTTCCACCACGTCCCCATAGAGAATAGAAATGCATTTTACCCAGATTTTCGACTTTCGATCAATTTTTATTTTTAGTCCCGCAGTTGATTAATCGTAAAGATACGGTACCCAGTAGAACACTGAAGTCAAGAATCACTGGCTGTGGTCAGTAAGCGAGAGGATGACCACTTTGATCAGCCTGCTTAAGGACCGAGGGTGCACGGTATTGGTCCTCGTAAAACTGTTCTACCGTAAAGTGCTCGACTTCGCGCAGGTCGTCGAGCTACCAAACCCAATAGCCCATTGCGAAGCTCTAATGCGCCGTGAATAATGCACCTATCTACCTTATTCTGTTTTCCTTTGGAATCTTTACGTTTTATATTTCAAATGAATTTTGCTTCTTCTCATTCACGTCTAACGAGTCTTGACAATGGCCACCCATTTTTGAGCACCCGAAACGTGTCGATTGTTATTTCCAATTTCGATATCCTTGAATCGAATGAATTTTTTAATCAAGTAATATCTTACCATCACTTCAATTTCTTAGGATTATTTATTCAATATTGGTGTTTAGTTACAGTTTATTAATAGAATTTAATAATAAAATCTTTATGAAATCATATTCTATTTAATGGAAGGCAATAATAGTAGCTAAGTTTTTTTTAATAGCTTCGGCTGTGAAGAAAAAATCAATATTAAAATAATTTCCCCCCATAAAGACGGAAAAATATAATTAGCGAAACTAACTCATTTTCCAAATGCGGTCTCATTAGTCTAATGGCTTCATTAGCGAAACTCGAATTTAAAACAATCATATCTTAAGATTTATCTGGTTGGTGTGTTTCGTAAAAAAATCGTTTAATTATAAAAATTCAAAGAGACAGCTGACATATATATTCGCCTGTTTCGAGAAAAAATAAGTTCTTTCAACTCCCAAATTCTTTATAAATTCTAGTATAAAAAATAAAATAATTCTTTTTTTGTTCAAGTGTTGCACATCACAATATCAAAAAGCAATATCACATCACAGGCAGCTCTCTTAGAATACACATTTTACAAACTGAGTGAGCACTTAAAATTTCATTTATTTATTAAGAAATTTTGACTAAATAAATCAAGAGTTCTCATATTAAAAAAAAAAGTTTATTTTTCGTTCAAGTGCATAGTACCGCACAGCGAGAGTGGATAAATTCCAAATTTCAATATCACGATCACATATACAAGCAGCTCTCTTAGAATGCACATTTTACAAACTGAGCGAGCACTTTAACCCACTGGCGGTTAAGGAAATGGGCAAAATTGGGAGAATGTTTCTCCCCTACACACAGTTCCCCTATCAGTTAACATGGGAAAACCGGTTTTGCTATGCAGAGAAGACTGCAGGTAAAAATAAATAAATAAAAAATTTATATAGTGATTCATATTTTTATTATAATATTTTATTTTAATAAATCAAATTGATTTTAGTTTTATAAATTAAAAAACGAACTTTCTGTTAATTATTTAAAATTAATTTTAAATAAATTTAATTTGAAAGTTTATAGGCCTAGTCAGATACATTCCGCATTTAATATCAATATCATCCATAAATTATAGCCAAAAGGAAATAAAATCGAGTGTACTGAACTAAATTGTTTACTTAAAGCAAACATCACGAACACCGGATACATTTCCTTCAAAAGTTTTACATGTGTGTTTGTTGATTGCGTCACCTCCTCTTTTTGATTGGATAAATTCAACAACGTCAAAAAACTCATTTTTTGTCATTTATTATTGTTCAATATGAAAACAATATAAACAGGTTGTTTTGTTTTTAAAAAGATTTATAGAATAAACATAAGAAAAATAGAAGAAAAATGCACAGAAGTCTTATCTAACATTAAGGCGGTAGCCAGTGTGAACGTAGTCATAGTATTAACAGCTGCTACTATCGCGCCAGAGATAATGAAGGAGAGCTGTAAAAACTACCGGATAGAATATTTTGACATTCAACAGCGATGGAGGTTAGAATACAGATGAATATTCGCGAATCTTCAGCTAGTTAGAACACCTGTTTCCCGAGGAATATAATCGCATGCGTTTTCCATTTCAATCATAGCTGTCAAATATTAATAGATTTTGGCCTTTTGAGCATGTAGATTCCAACAGAACACTCCTATTGTGATATACATATGCCTCTAAATTGTAAAGCGTACAATTTTGTGTACTTTACTACAAATACATCCAGTGAGAGCATCAATGTAATAGTTAAGAACTTCTTGAACTTAGTTATCTTTGCAGTTTTTGTATTTATATTAGTTATTTGGAGCACCAATGAAAAATTTAGGAACTTCTGGAATTTAATTGACTTTTGAGCATTTGTAACTACATATCGATTCCGTGATTTCCGTGAGCATCAATGCAATATTTAAGAACTTCTTGAACTTAATTAACTTTGCAGTTTTTGTACTCATTTTAGTGGTTTGGAGCATCAATGAAAAATTTAAGAACTTCTGGAATTGAATTGACTTTTGAGCATTTGTAACTACTTATCAATTTCGTGATTTGGAGCATCAATGCAATATTTAAGAACTTCCAAAACTGAATTGACTTTCGAATATTTGTAACTAATTTGGCATTGTGGAACGGAATATATCAGTATGGGTCTCATCAATTGGTTTCAAGACTGTTGGATATTAATGATGCGTACAAAACCTCAGTACTTGTCTGTACTTGGTCGAAAGCGTAGCAGTATACGCTCTCCAAGCAAAACAAATATCGGCAATGAAACCGATGGTGGAATGAGTATGAGTTTAACTATTTGTTTGATAGTTATGTGCTGTAGTCTTTCATTTGGAGTTGTTTTACTTTTGATAGAAGATGTTGTTCTAAATGCTTCAACGCTGCTAATTCCATTAATAATTGCGTCAATCTGTGCTGTAACCGGAGGTAAGTTTGAAACATTTTAAAATATGACTTTGATTATCTTTTAAACAATAATTGAATGATTTGTTTCTAAAAATGACATCCTAAAAAGCGATTTTTTTTAATAGAAAAATTGAAAAAAGAAGTTATTAATTTTCTCATTATTTATGTAGTTTTAATTTTTTTTTTTTTTGTATAAACATTAAAAAGTGATGGCACTATTATTTCATTATTCTAGTAGTCGTTAAACATTAATGCATTAACCATTGGTTTTTAAAGCGGGAATTATAACTAAGGCGTTTGAAATATTTATAATTTAAATATAAAAAGTAGATTTAAAATTTTCCTACCGTGAGTTTTTAAAATAACGTAATTTTAAAATAAGTTTTTATTCACTTTTAATTTTATAAATTTTCTGTCACCTTCTTTCTTTTTTGTCTTCGATTTTAAATTAGGATTTTTTTTTCCTAAGAAAAAAAACCTGCAACTGTATTTCTTTAATAAACTAATAAAACATCCAATTAAGCTGTATGAATTTATATGATCTTATTTTACATGATTTAGAAAAATTAATGCTTTAGTACCATTGCAATATAATGTGATTTGCTTTGTTGGGTAAAGTTTTAAAATGAGGCAAAAATATCTTAAAATATAAATGAACAATTAGGGTGGAAAAAATAATCGAATATATAATTACTCTATCATCCATTTGTTTTAAAAAAAAAAATTTATTGAGTCACATTATAAAATTAATAAATAGTATGCAGAATTATATAGTTTTCTCTCTGCATGATTTCCCGCAAACAGATATAATTCGAAACTCGAACCAGCTATAACATTGAAAGTAGCTTGTAACTAATATAAATATTTTATTGAACATTATTTAATATTTTATGAAAATATAGAGAAGTAAAAAAAAATTAGCATTTAATTTAATTCTAAATTTTAATGCTTTAGTCTGCGATAAATTTTGAGGAGAAAGTGAAATAAAGTTGAAGTAAATCAATTAGTTTTTCATACATTACATCTATATTTTAAGCTATATATCTATATCGATATATCTATATCGAGAAATACAGGTTTGTAAACTGATCAGGCTACTCCCAAAACTAAAAAAAAAGCAGTAGTTTGTATGATTGAAAACTCATTGTTTTACTTTTCCCGTTATTTAAAATATTTCTGTTAGTGAATCCCTGGGAGGGATTTCTGTTCTCAGAATATTAAATTCGAGGGTCACTTTTCAAAGATCCATTTAGAAATTTCACTACCAGTTACTTAGTTTTGGGAGGACACTGATCAGCTTAATATTTGAACTAATTTTTATAATGATGTAAACTATTGTAGACCACGTAGGGAAAAAAAACGGACCACCATGAATAACTTTTGATTTTATGATCGGATCATCACGTTCTAGGACTCAATCTTAATGGTACGAAGGGATGACTTCAAATATGCTAATTAGTGCAGACGTAAGTTATCAAATCAGACATAAAAACGTACTTTCTTTGAAAAGGCTTACCTTTTTTTTCCGACGGATTCGGATTTCTGACCCCCAAAATATAGGGGAAACAGCAATCTAAGAAATAATAAGGTCCAACAGTTTGGATCCCTTAATATTACTTTTATATTTTGCACATTTCGTTGTATCTTAAAACTTTTTAAGCGAATTGGAAACTTTTTACTCACAATTATAAAACTCGTTTATCCAAAGATAATTCGATGCAATATATAACTTTTAGTATATATTTATTAGTTTTCATTATTTTATTTAATAACAGTCGAAAATACTTTGAATTGTGATGTATAAAAATTTTTACAACATTTTAAAGAATGTAATTTTATATGGCAAAATACAAAATCTAAGCGAAATCGAATTGTGAAAAAAATCGGATTTTTAAAGTTCGATTTCTCAGGAATTATTCGTCCGATTTTACTAAAATTTTGTATTTTGCCATATAAAATTACATTCTTTAAAATAATGTAAAAAAAAATTATATCCTATTATTATAAATTTTTTAGACTATTGTTAAATAAAATAATAATAAAAAATAATAAGCATTTTAGAAATGCTTGATAATTGTGTGCAACAATTCCCTTTAAAAGTTCTTGAGATATGGCAATATACACGAAGTAAAATTGTCAGTGAGGTGTACAAATATTGAACAGACTATTGGAAACATATTTCCCGAATTGCGGCTACCCCTATATTTTGGAGGAGGACAAAAATCCGAATCCGTCGAATAATTCGCATTTTTGATCATAGATGGCCCCACTTAAAAACAAGAAACGTGCCCTTTGATTGATTTCACCAACGCTTGGTTTCACCAAACAGGCTTGCTGATATTGGCATTTGAAACAATAACAACATTCGCATATATGAGGTCACCTCCCTGAACCATTAAAATTGAGTCCTAGAATGTGATCATTAGATCAAAAGTTATTCAAGGTGGTCCGTTTTCATTTTTTTTCACTCGGTACATAATTTTTATAGTGTTCATCCTCATCATGCTAGATTTACACTTGCAAAACAACCCTCTTTTTCTTCCCTAACTTAGATGAAGGAGCAGTTACCCTGGGTACACCATATTCAAGTTTACATAAGCAGTTAATATGTTCTAATTGTCGCTAAAGTTTCCTATCTTCGAAAGAAAGGAAAAAATGATATAGTTTTAGTACCAGTTTAGATCTATTCCATTTAAGCATCAGAATGATGCCAAACAGAATAATTTTGTTTCTGCTTTTGAAAAATTAATCTTGATAATAAGATCTTTGCGTTAAACTTTTACAATAGTAAAAAAAAATCATATGTATTTTCCTGAAGTATTACTCGTCTGGTTTGTGCGAAATGACATTATTTACAAAGACTGAAAAATAGATAAGATCAACAACCATCTACAGAGCTTAAACACGTCAAGGAAGCCACTAGTAGTACTAAATGTGTGTTCAACAAAATCATTGATTTTTTACGCATCCATAAGAATATCAAATTCAGCCTGGCGACGGCCTTTTCTCCAAGTGACGGCTTCATGTCTAGACGTTCCAACCCTTATTCTATTTTGTTAACAATTCATAGAGATGAACTGCATCAGTTTGCATAGATGAAACCTTGGGGAGAGTCGAGAAAGAGTTGCAAACAGCTTCAAAGCTTCTTGTTTACGATCTGGACAATTGTAAATATTGTATACAGTCCTCATCCTACCCTAGATTAATTTTTCGTTATAGCATTTTCTTATAGTGTTAATTAATTTTTAAATTTAATTTTTCATCGTATAGATTTGCTGTTGCAAGCGCCCTTTTCCCTTTAAATTTAATTTTTTCATCGTATAGATTTGCTGTTGCAAGCTCCCTTTTCCCTTTAAATTTAATTTTTTCATCGTATAGATTTGCTGTTGCAAGCTCCCTTTTCCCTTTAAATTTAATTTTTTCATCGTATAGATTTGCTGTTGCAAGCTCCCTTTTCCCTTTAAATTTAATTTTTTCATCGTATAGATTTGCTGTTGCAAGCTCCCTTTTCCCTTTAAATTTAATTTTTTCATCGTATAGATTTGCTGTTGCAAGCTCCCTTTTCCCTTTAAATTTAATTTTTTCATCGTATAGATTTGCTGTTGCAAGCTCCCTTTTCCCTTTAAATTTAATTTTTTCATCGTATAGATTTGCTGTTGCAAGCTCCCTTTTCCCTTTAAATTTAATTTTTTCATCGTATAGATTTGCTGTTGCAAGCTCCCTTTTCCCTTTAAATTTAATTTTTTCATCGTATAGATTTGCTGTTGCAAGCTCCTTTTTCCCTTTAAATTTAATTTTTTCATCGTATAGATTTGCTGTTGTAAGCTCCCTTTCCCCTTTAAATTTAATTTTTTCATCGTATAGATTTGCTGTTGCAAGCTCCAGTTTCCCTTTAAATTTAATTTTTTTTATCGTATAGATTTGCTGTTGCAAGCTCCCTTTTCCGCTTAAATTTAATTTTCAATGAATGAGCAGATAGTTCTTAGGTTTAGATACTCCGTACCCAATTTTACATACGAGGAATATTTGCGTCGAAATGAGAATGTTTCATTACGGATTCATTGAACTTTCATGCATGCATTATGGCATTTTTCAAGTTATTTCCGCTATCTCACCATATGCAAGGTGGCCACAACACGGAAAAAATTTAATAAGTGGAAGAGATTATTAAATTTTTTCCCTGTTGTGGCCACCTTGTAGTAAAAATTTGATAAGTGGATTCATGAACAAATTGTTTTTATTAATTCATACCAAATAAACCATATTTTCAAATTAAAGAAATATATCTAGATGTTAAAACTGCTCAACTTATCTTTTTTTAAAAGAAAAAAAAATCAAGTTGAATTTAAAAAATAAATAAATTTTGTACAGTTCCTTGAAACCATTGTTATCACTATCATACGTGACAATTTCCCTCGTTTTATGAGAGATTTTTCTTGATTATTTCAAGTGGTACTAAATTTTGTATTTTGCAATTTTATTTCTGATTTAATAAATGTCATTTACAGTGATTCTGACCACCACTACATATGAACAATTTAAACTAATATCTAAAACTATGATAATAATGAAATTAAATTTAAAAGGCCGCAAGTCCTCAGACGCCCAGTTCCACTACAACGAACGAACGAACGAACGAATGAAGTTAAATTTATGTGATGGCAAAATTAAGCGAATTAAATTAATTTTAATTATTATGTTACCACTTTAAATATTGGTTTGCACATGCATAGTTTGTCTACGGTAAGAACTCCCCCCACCACAAAGTCTGAAGCCGTCTACTGCTATGGAAACAAGAATGGCGCATTTCAGAGAGGGTAGCTTCTCTTCACTCTAGGGCTAAAACAATAGATCGGAGAAAAATATTACCTTTCTCTCACCGACCAGAGCCGAAACCTGTGCTAAATAGTGACCCCACACCCATATTTGAAATAGTTATACCTGGTAACCATAGTTACAACCACTGGTCCAGACGAATGGCTTAGGGAGTTTCTACTTTAGACAAACTATACACCTTTTAA